TCCGTCTTGCAAATTAGTTACATGGCTGTTCAGAACATGCGAGTAGAAGGCTGTACTGACAATTCCCGCCTCTATGGGCATACATAGTTCGGTCAATGTTTACAGCTAAGGAATGAAACACAGACAGGCTGCATCGTAAAATGTCCTCATACACATGACACTTAAGTTCAATCTCTCTATTCTACAATTTTATCATATTTCCACTCTGGGCTGCCACACTTCCTCGTATTTCGCTCTCTATTTTTGAATTACACCCAACACAGAGGGTCTCCCACAGCCCTGCAACACTTCATTCATCCTAAGAATCACTAAAAAATTAATTTTTCAAAGACTGACTCAAATCAGATTGCTCGATTTTTAAAACTCCCGCTGCATCAAACCTACCGGCGCCGCGGATGAAGCCGAAAAACAGAGTCAAAAAAAAAGAATCAGTAAAAATCGATGAACCATACTTTCAAGGAAATGATCACTTCCTGTATTCTTTTAATGACTGATGGATCAAAACATTCACCCGGTATATATTCATGTTCGGGGAAGTTATTTTTCCATATATCCAGCGTTGAGATCCGATCATGGCGAGGAGGATAAAACATGGTCTGAAACAGTGAGCACCGTTTTTAAAAGAAAATACAAAATACAGCAAAATTTTTGAGTAACAGCTGAGTTGTGCCAAGTTTAAAAAGAATCCTATGATAAGTAGCTGTAATGTTACAGATCAGAAGCATGGAAATCAAAACTGTGAGAGGTGGAAGTACACGTAAATATCCAACAACAGCCACACGTTAGTGAACAACAACCGCACGTTAGTCAACAATAACCACACATTGCCAATAACAACCACACGTTGGTCAACAACAACCACACGCTGGCCAACAACGACCACACGTTGGTCAACAACGACCACACGTTGGCAAGGCTGTCAAAAACTCCTTTAGTTGTTTACAATCAAGCTACTGGCACGCTTTTCTCTTGGACACATGTCAGTACCAGTTTACTAACGAAACCCAAAAATATCGTAAAAGGGGCATCTCTAGGCTAACGGAGAGCACAGTTGCTCGTAAAATCACATATAGACACTTCAAGCATCCCTCTCTTCACCGCTATACCGCAACCGAGCATTCAAACTTCTGATTTTTTCGTGAATAGTGTATAACAATCGCAGATCATCACTCACAACACAGTGTGCTAATGAAGAAATGAACAAGACCATTCGGATTCAACAACTTTTACGACATTAGCAACCTACAAATCAACGAAATTTGCAGCGACCTATAGTTTTTTATCATGCAAAACTCAATCTGATAATGCGAAATATGATATACTTCCTACTAACTGAGACAGAAGCAACTGTCAACTTCTTCCAAGTCAACACTGCCCATCTAAGGTCGGCTACTAGTAGCCGCATTAACAAAATACACATAAAGATTACCTTGTGAGCAATATTAGCTTCGATGTATTCGTCCGATACCACCAGAAACCCAAGATTTTCATAAAATTTTAAAACGGGTAGCTGCGCTTGCGTCACAAGTACTTTTGTGCTATATCGCGATTCCGCAAATTTAATAGCATGCTGACATATTCTTTCTCCAAATCCACATTTTCGCCATTCCTAAAACAATTCGCAAATTTTTCGTCTGTGCAGAAAAATTACTTTTGAAAGTACAAAATTCCACAAAGGCGGCACAAAAGTTAATAAAAGGAGCGCAGATTTTATTAAAGTGTAGCAAAATTTAACCGCCAATGAAATAAGCTGGGAAAAGCTAAATTTCATTAAAAGAGCAATAATGAAACAAGAAATCCTCAAGCTGGCGGTCTCTTCGTCGTAAAAAATCTCACAGAAACGAAATTCGGTAGGAGGTGCTGATGCTTAATTTGAACACTAAGGATATATCAAAGCGGCTAAAACCCCGGTAAGTGAATGTGTATCAGAAAAGTTGGTAATCCTTTCAGGATGGTAACGAAACGAAAATCAGGATCGCTAGCAGATTTATCACTGGTCAGAGCAAATGGAAAAGTTGCCAGCTGTACAAACAAGAAACCACGCTATATCTTACTGTTAGTACAGTAAATTCTAAAATACAGTAAGAAAGTACAGTAAAGCACAGTACAATAAAGTATAATAAAAGTACAGTAAATCAGTACAGTAACTTTAGCAGTAAATTCCAAGAAAATGCTA